CCTTGCACTTCATTTTGTTAAACTGCAAGAGCTTGTCTGCTAAGAAACATGGTCACAGAAGTACGGGGGTACTGCTACCTCACTGCCATTTACCAAAAGGGAATCCATGGAACAAACCCAGGTCACTCATTTTTAGCACATTAATAGGAATGAAGTAGTTACAAGACAAATGTTTCTCATTCCCAGAAGTCTGGAATGTGTCCCCATGCATTCACACACTCACATATGCACTGCTATGTAAATATAGGCATCAAACAAAATTGGAAATCCCATTCCCACATCACCTACCTTTGGGGGTAAAAGTAGATGTTCCCAAGCATGTATCAAGCTCTCCACTATTCCTTCTCCAAATAAACCTGCATCAACTGTTTCTGTGACAACCAAGGAGACTCTAGAGAAGAAAAAGAACACCATAGAGTATAATGTAGAAGATGCATTCCTGTTAGCAATCACAGAATCAATTGGATTGGAAAAGATCTTTGAGATCACTGAGTCCAACCTATGGCTGAACACCACGAATTATTCTTATAAATGGAAAAACAGCCCTGCCATACCAATGTGAGCTCAGAGCAAAACTTTTACCAGTGTTCTGAAGTCTCCACACAGATGGGCAAATTAATCCTTCCCTAAAATTACATGTTTTGAATTGTTGTTAGAAGTTATTCAAGATGCAATAAAAAAAAGTAAAATAAATATTGAGCAAGAATTTACCATAAAGTTTCTTGTTCAGCTTTTATAAATAAATTGTGTAGGAAGAATCTAGGCAAAACAGGAAGATGTTTCAGCCTGGGCACACACCAGTGATACTGCAGAATATGGTTTTTGTGCAAGAGTATGAATCCATGCAAGGGTATAAAAAGGAATTAAACCCCCCTAAACTATAATCAAAGCACAATGAAATTACTACACAAACTAACAACCCCAAAAATCCTAAATCCTCTGGAAGTAAACCATAAAACACACAGCTAAGAGAAGATATTTCCAAAACAGTAGGAATTTATTCCTGACAGGTGACATGTAGGAACTCATTAGAGACACTATAATACAGATGTTATACATACATAGACACATAACTACATATGTTACTGGAGCTGACACAATTAGACAGGGCTTGACTGGCCTGAGCCACGTGGCTAACCCGCGGGAGCTTTGTCATTTCAGATCATGAGTCTGTACCATCACCAGACACTTATGAGGTGTTAGCAACTCTGTCCTATTCATAGGCTGCAGAAGTGAGCCACAAGTTATTAAGTGTGTTAAAATGACTTTTATGACATGGTAATCTAGTTTCTCTTTTCCTGTTGCTGCAGTAGAATTGTATATGCCCCAAAGCTCTCACTAGCAAAGAATTAAACTCTTTAATTTAGAATGTTGTTGATCTACCATAGAAATTAGTATGATCTTAGAGGACATATCATTTCTGCACTGGTCTATAAAAACACAAAAGATGCACAGAACCTTCTCACATTATGGGTAGTACCACAGCAGTGTTAGTTCCTGTTTAGAATGAAGAATACTATCACAACAGAGCACCACAACTTACCTTTCAGGTATGTGCTTCGGAATTTCGATGTCAAGTGACTTCAAATGCAGAAGTTTGATCTCTCTTTCCATATTATTTGCTGCTACCACATCACGGGCAAGTTCATACATGGTTTTTGATAACTCACAGGCGTAGACAAAAGATGCTCCTGCCTTTTTTGCAAACATACTGAAAAACAAGAATCAGGATTTCTCCCCACATCTGCTTCATATTTCTAGCAGTTCAAATCTACAAATCATCATTAAGTGAACCAGTACATGTTACGTGAACACTGCCATTGCACAAATTAATACCCTCTTGATGTGCTAGCAACAAAAAAAAGCACCACGGGTAGCATAAGGATACTCCCTCAGCTATGTTAAATCCAGTACTTAAAAACAGGACAAGTGACATTTCAACTCCAAAACCAACAGGAGTGATTTATACAGCACTTATGGGCACAAAAAGCATCTGCAACCAATAGAGTTCAAAAAGCACTACTAGGCACCAACATCCAGACTCACTGACTCCTGAAAACTTTGGTTTCTTTCTTAAGCTTTGCCTCCAAAAAGGCATGACAGTAATTACTATTTCCACCAGCAAACAGGTTAAATGAGAGACAACAAATATATTCAACATGCCCTTGTGCCATACCTCAAAATTCCTGTTCCTGTTCCGATGTCAAGGACGGATTTGCAGCCCGAGTGGACAGCACTCTCGATTGCCTTCAGGTAAGTCATGTTCCTCTTGGCATCATTGAGCATGATGAAGTGCCAACGTTCCACCAGCCAGTTGGCAACACGGTAAAAATTCTCCTTGGCATCAGCAAAGTCTGGGTTAAGCTTCACTGCTTTATGGAAATATCCAGCTGCTTCATCTCTAAAACCCATTCTAAGAGCAAAAGTGACAAAACCAGAAAGCATGCACTCAGCTGGAAGTATCTGTGGGTCTAAAGAGCTCTTATGTCAACTAAAACACAATGGGAATATTTTGCTTTAGTTAGGCTGTATCTGTAGAAACACTGGCATTATCTTGTGAGAAAAAATGACTTGCAGCTTTCCAAGTCACTTTAAAATGCAAAGGCAGTCCAAAAACATTGTGTTCAGCAACCTTCATCCACTACTGCATCCTTCATAGAATCATAGAATCAACCAGGTTGGAAGAGACCTCCAAGATCATCAAGTCCAACCCTACCATGGTCACTAGACCATGGCACTAAGTGCCACATCCAGTCTCAGCTTGAAAACCTCCAGGGATGGGGAATCCACCACCTCCCTGGGCAGCACATTCCAATGCCTGAGCACTCTCTCCGTAAAAAATCTCCTCCTAATATCCAACCTAAACCTCTGACAAAGTGATGCAGGTTTTACAAGAACTTACTGCAACACTGTGACAGCAGCAGCTCTGCAATCCAGGCTCATGGATATGCAAGTCAACAGAATGCTACAAACCCTCAAACTGCTTTACTGTATTTAACTGGAGCATACTGCAAAGCTACCAGTTGTTGAGTTGCCAGTTCTTGCATTAAGGGCCAAATTTTGAACCCAAATTGTGAACTTGAAGCAAGATTTTATGATAACTACAGCACATTCTCAAATCAGACAGCACTGAAAAAAGTCCAAAAATATATGAAATATACACACACACTTTAATAAAATGCTGGCAGAGATGTTCCTTTGAAACATAGGAATCACAAAAAGCAAACCTAATTACAGCTATCTGGATTACCACCTATGATTTCAGTCTTAGTATTCCAGCCTTAGGAGACTTGAGCAACAGCAAAGCACCATGTTTTGCACTGTTTAGGGAGAGCAGGAAAAGAATGTTTTACACTAATAAATAAAAGCATAAGCTCAAACCAGCTCTATGCTGTTATGCTTATCTATGTCAGGTTTGATGAGGCCTTGAGCAACCTGCTCTGGTGGGAGGTGTCCCTGCCCAGGGCAGGGGGTTGGGACTAGATGATCTGTAAAGTCCATTCCAACCTCTAAAATTCAATGATTCTATGCAGTACAGTATTCATGACCAACTTCTTCACTTTGAAGGTCTGTTCTGTGTGGCCACAAGAAAGACCAGAATTAAGAGATGTTGTGATTCTCATGGGATCTAACAGCAAAAAAAAGAAGAACTTCAAAAATTGTAGGTTAATCACTATTGTTGTAACTCTGAACAATTTTAGTCTCTTTTTTTGTTCAGTAATTTCGGAATAAACTGTTATAAAACTTGAAGGCAGTGCTTTGTCTTTAACTTCAGTCAAAGTGCTTTAACTTTTTTTTTTACACTTTTGCTGTGCCTAGCAACATTGATTTTAGCACTGGCTACTCTGTTTAAGCTGATGAACAGGTTTAAGTTCAGCAGTATGTACCACACATCATGAAGCACATGGCTTGCATTGACAAAAAACTGAATATACATCACTACAAACCTGAAGAGATGTTCTCCCATGCTGTTACAGATCACTTCATCATTCGGATACAGTTCAAGTGCTTGTTCATAACAGTTGAACAGATCTTGAATCCGTGCCAGAGAATCCAGTTCTTCTGCCCATTTAAAGAGAGTAAACTGAAATGTTTCCTAGACAATAATGAAATAGATACCACTGAGTTGCTGGAAGTTACCGGAAGTAGGAAATTGAGCCCTGAAAATGTCTAGAGGTACCCAGACAAGTACCTGAAACCCTCATCTCCCTAAGAAGCAGCATATGATGGTTTGCTGTCATAAAAAGGTAGTTGATTCACTTGGAAGGAGCAAAAATGAGCTTTCAGATACCCACACAAGAGGATCATCACCCAGCAGTGTTTACTAAGAGCCGGAGTGTATGATAGTGCATGCTCCAATACCAACAAGGCCCTGGTTTTATTACACTCTATTGACATACACAGACTAAAAGAAAAGTCTATCAACTCCCTTCTTAAAAGCATGTAGAGCTTATTAAAGAAGTCACTGGCCAGATCCATTATTACTGTCTTCAAAACAAAAGCATAAATCTGTTCCATAAAACAAGTCACAGGTACAGAAATGTCACAAAGACCTCAAGAGGAATACAATAATTCAAATTCTTTCAAGGAATTTGAAGAGCACTTACTTTGACACTATTTTTTAACTCAGGAGCTAGATTTAGGACCAGGAGATAGTGAGCGTATGCTGTTCCAAAATCCTGGTCCTCCAGGCAATGTTGAGCACTTTGCAAAGATCTGGAAACCAGCTCCTGCCTTCTGGCTTCCCGACCATGTCTGTGGTTACGATTTAGTCTGGAGTTGGAGTTGGGCATTCTGAAGGATGTCAATGCTCACTCTTCCTAAAAAGAATACTGTGGGCCAAAAAAATGTGTATACAAAGTTGTCAGATCAAAAGACATCTAAATTTTCATTGGCATTAGTAAAGATATCCTCCCTCCTCCCAAGTCCTAAACATTCCAAAACGTTCTCACCGTTAGGCCACTGATAATTCCACCAGGTCTGAACATTCACCATTTAAAGGTCCCAGCGTGCATCACATCTGTGTTTGACCAGGTCCTGCAAAAAAATTACATGTGTTGCTTTGTAAGATATGTTTCTGTAATAGAATCATAGAGTTTTAAGGGTTGGAATAGACCTTACAGATCATCTAGTCCCAACCCCCTGCCCTGGGCAGGGACACCTCCCACCAGAGCAGGTTCCTTAAGGCTCATCCAACCTGGCTGTGAACACTGCCAGGGTTGGGGCAGCCATAGCCTCCCTGGGCAACCTGTTCTAATGTCTCTGACTGAGTAGTTTTGCACACTCATACACTTCATAATCCACCACAAAATCTGCAGGTTAACTCTTTTTCGAGGAGGAAAAAAATGTGTCATCATAAAGCAAAGACTCCCAGCAAAAGAACTAACAAACTTGATATAACAAGCTTTATATAACAAGCCTTATAACAGTTGAATTTACACAAGGCAACAAGACTATTTTTATCTGTATGCTAAAGAGTTACCAAAACCAACATGTACATTTTTAGACCTGCCTTGATTACCACCGGTAACTTAATGCTACTTACACGAGAAGGGCTAACACCTCCTTTAGCATATCCAGGTGCGTCCCAAAGCCGAACAACACAGAGGGTTAGATGAAGAAACACTGCAAGAAACACAGCGCCGTCACCACGAGGTTTTTTCCTCCTATTTCCTTTTAAACAAAAGAAAAACCAACCCAAAGCCACATAAACTCCGGCCGCGAGCAGTGTACACAGGGAGTGTACATCGGGCAGGAGAGCCGCAGCATCGCTCGCCCTGGGGCCGGGGAGAGCAGCATTGACCCCAGGCAGGACCTGCCGAGCCCCGGGACCACTGTCCGGCCGAGCCCGGGGACCACTGCCCGGAGAGCAGCGGGCGAGCTGGGGATGCTCCTGCGGGAGCTCCGGGAGCGCAAGGAGCATCACCTGCACGCTCTGAATCCTCCCCCACCATCCCAGCCGAGAGGAAAGCAAAGCGCATGCGATGGGTTGGCCCTGAGCATCATCCCCCGTCCCACCCCCCGTCGGGTCACACTGCCTTAAGGGTGCAGCGCTCGCTCCTTGCTTAAAGGAACTGAGCAGGGTTACACGGTTAAGAGCCAAGGAAAACGCGGAATGCCTGAAAATGGTATTAAGGAATCATAGAATTTTAAGCGTTGGAATGACCTTCATAGATCAGCTTTTCAGCTTGAATTACCAACGAGCTCCATTGCTTTCTTTGTCCTGTAAATGTTCCACTGTACATTTTTTGCTGTATTAAGAGTAGAGTTTTGTGCTAGTGACAAGGTGTGATGGCAGAAAATGTGAAGTGCCGCAAATTTATAAGGATTTTCTCAGTGCTGAGAGGTATGACAGGCTGTTGAGTGAAGTGATTCTGCCTTTTAATCATTTGGGGGAAACCTGGCATATTTCAGCTTTAGATAAGCTGGGTAAACAGTCATTAAAGAGGACATCAGTGATCAGTGTAATTGTCGATCTTCGGGACAAAGCCAACAGAAATAAGTTTGTAATTTTTAGAGAAGTTGTCTATTAAATCATGTTAAATAAGTTTGTAATTTTTAGAGAAGTTATCTATTAAATCACGTCGAAAAGTTTATTCTTGTTTTTTATGAGATTTTCAGGGGGGATGTTTTGGGATTATTTTTTTTTTGCTTTTGTTTTTGTTTTTAATGACCAACCTCTTAGAAATGTAATTATTAAATTACATGGAAACTGAATCACAGAATCATAGAATATTATGGGTTGGAATAGACCTTAGGGATCATCCAGTCCCAACCCGTGCCCTGGGCAGGGACACCTCCCACCAGAGCAGGTTGCTCAAGGCTCATCCAACCTGGCTGTGAACACTGCCAGGGTTGGGGCAGCCACAGCCTCCCTGGGCAACCTGGAACAGGGTCTCACCACCCTCACAGGAAAAAATTTATTCAGAAGATCTAACCTAAATTTCCCCTCTTTCAATTTGTTCCCAGTGGGTGGGTGCTTTGAAAGGTGACAAGAAGGAGGCACTATGTGAATATAAACAGAATTTGTGACTTTATGAAGTAAAAGGTTTGAGAAAAATACAGACAAATCTGTGAACAGTTTTTCAGTGCTAGTTTAGCTTGTTACTTTTCAGGTGAAACATCGTAAATTGACTAGAAAGTGTCTTCCCATTTCTTCCTATCTGTATACACGTGTGGAATAAAGGTGTTTTCATTATCCACGTTCTTCCTCCATCCACATTTAACCTCTTAACAGTGATAACTCAGGTCATGCAAACACAGAATGTGATCCAGAACAATGCTCAGTACAGTCTCTTGCCATTCCATTCTGTCCAGGTCTGCTCTAACACCACATAAAAACTTCCACCTTAAATATTTACCAGATGTAGCATGAGAACTGCATGCTGGGCAGGCACTGCCTACTGCCCTGTAGTTATGGTGTTCCTAACATGTCATTTTAATTCCAGTCTTGGTTAAGTCCCAAGAAAAACAGTTGAGGACAACACTCACGTCACCTGCTTTGAAGTCATGAACAAGTCCTAGTTGTTTTGAGCCTTTCACTGACAACTCTGCTCTGAAGCAACAGAGATTGTGAGGAGGTTTGTGCCACATGTCCTGTCCCTTATCTCACTTCCTTCTATGCCTATGCCAGCACTTACCTTCTTTCTCTGTGGAGCCTAGCAGACTGTCTGCTCTGGGGAGCAGCCCTGGAGTGCAGAAAGGCAGAGTTCACTTGGTCATGTCCTACTTCTGGGACAAGAACAGGCCATGGCATTGTTTACTAATTATGAAATGTTTGGAAGCTGTTCATCTTTGCTTTCCTGCCCTAATGAATGAGTACATCTCTTCCAGGCTTTTACAGCTGTGGATATTGTATGTGCATTCCCTTTGGAGAAACAAATGAGTCTCACTTAAAAATGTCAGGCCAACACTGCACAAGAAGAAAATAGCACATGTGGAGTGGGAATGTGAGTCTAAACGAAGCACAGCAGCAGTTAAACTGTAAGCCACAGAAAACTTCAGATTCAAGGGAAATTTAGGTTAGATTTTAGGAATATGTTTTTTGCTGTGAGGGTGGTAAGACA